CGATTCCTCCTACCCCTCCTCCTCCTCCTCCTCCTCTTCCTCCTTCCCCTCCTCCTCCTCCTCTTCCTCCTGCCCCTCCTCCTCCTCCTCTTCCTCCTACCCCTCCTCCTCCTTCTCCCTCCTCTCCCTCCTCCTCCTCCCCCTCCTCTTCTTCTCCTTCCTCCTTTTCCTCCTTCCTCCTTTTTGCTCTCCTTTCTCCTGTTCCTCTCCTTCCTCCTCTTCCTCCTCCATCCTCTCACCCTCTTGTCTTCCCCTTCTTTCTTAAGTGAAGAGGCATTTGGAAGAATGTAGGGGCACACCCAATCTTTTCTCACCATTGTTTGTAAATCTCCAAATACCAACACCTTGTGCTGTGTCAGTCGCCGTTTGTCAGGTGTCCCGTAATCTTTGTGTCTTGTCAAAGCGGAGAAAGAGAATGAAAGGCAAGAGTGTTCATGCAAGAATTGTTCAGTATATGGTAAAAGCATTCCAAGAACCTGTTTTTGTGGTTTTGTTTGTTTGAACATGAGTGTGCAAGGATGTGTGCATTTGCAGCTGCAGTTTCTTATGATGAGTTTGATATTAGAAGCTCTGGTGTAATAAAATGTTGCACTGTTTACGCAAGGCTTTGTTGGAATGTAGTTGTTTGTTTTGTAGTTATTCTTCTTTTTAGTGCTCTTATGTTTGCTTCTTTCCCTTTTTTTTTTTTTTTGTTATACTTAAGTTTTCTCAGATAATTGTGGGAGAGAGAATCGGAACATTTGTCAGCTGCCAAGGTTTCTTCTTTCCTTCTCTTCATTCTTTTTACAAATCTTTTTATGTTCAGAGCTTCAGAAGAACTTCATTTATTTTGATACTGCATACTTGCAAGACAGTATATTGATTATCCATTGCAAGAAGCAGCAAAGTCAGTTTTTCTTACTGTCTTGACTCGATAATTCATCTTCATTATTATTTTTTACTTTTTATCTTTTTCACTAATACATTAAGAGATGTATAGCAGCTGAGAATTATTATGTGTAGTCTAGTCTTTATGAGTTACAAATGCAAGTCCTCTCTCAGACTGCAAAGCCTAAGAGGGTTCAGTGGCCGGGTTTGATGGAATGTTGAAACGATAGTTATGCTTTGGCTGATGATGTTTCTTTTGTCAGAACTTCAGTTGAAGTGTTTTTATTTTCTTATTTTATGCCTTTTGTCTCTAGCCTCCCCATCCTCTTCCAACTTCCTTATTTCAGTTGCCTTTTTGCTATTTGGTACCACTGTGTAATCCTAAAAATCATACAGGCATACATACATGGACAGGCGGGCTGGTACACGCACACATGGATATAATAGTTACATTTGCACAAGCTAACGAGGAATCTCATGGACTTTACATCCTGAAGTGGAACCTGAATTCCACAGTTTTTCTATCTTCTTTTTTCCTCAAAACTGTTACAGGCTGGGAATACCAAATTTCCCCAAGGCACTTCCCTCTTTATGCTAAGGTCTGATTGGTATTTGTGATGAAGCACAAAAGCTTCACTGAGAACCGTGATGAGGGAACTCTTTGTCTTTATTTTTGGGGTCAGCATTTTTTTTTTTTTTTTTGTGTGTGTGTGTGTGTTAAAGGAAAACATATTGTGTTACATTTGCTTTCTTGCTTGAATATGTGCTCTTGTGTGATAATTCTGATTAGATCATTATTGTGGTACATAATTGTTATTAATATTAGAAGGGCCATCAATAAATGGTCAGGTATTAGAGTTAGCTATTGCTTAGGAAATAGTTTGTATATCATTATACTATAGTTCTTTCAATATAAAATAAACAATATAATTATTCTCTTCCAGGCGTGAGGCAGAAGTTCGGGAAAAGGAACGTCTTGCCAAGGAGAAAATGGAGCGTGAAAAAACAGAGAGAGAACGGAGAGAAAGAGAGGAGCGGGAGAGGGAGAGGAGAGAGAAGGAGAGACGAGAACAGGAGGAGAAGGAGCGTCAGCAGTACCAGGTGGACCAGCATTTCAACAAGACTTTCCGCCTGGCCCAGCACAAGGTAAATGTTCAACACGACCAGGCTAGTGTTGTTTGTTAAAGCCACACTCATTTGTGGCTATTTGCAAATGGTAGAAAAGCCATTGAAAGTTAAAAGGAAGGGGTGGAAAGGAAGGGAATGATGAGAAGGTAAGAGGAGAGACTGGGTTTATGTGATGCAGCCATTGATGGAATCAGTTGTAAAATCAGGTTAGTAAGCTAGTAAGCAGCACATTGGACACACAGAAAGCACTTGGTCAAACAGTTCAAGGAACAGTTAAAAGAATAGTGATCAGGAGAGTGGTAAGGAGACTGCAAAAGCAAAAGGAAGACATCAGTACAACAGTATTAATATTTGGTATATTCAACCAACAGAGATGATGAACAGTTACTCAAGTTTGCCAACCAGTAAATGGACTGGTGGATGAACTATTGAATGTGATAGGATGGCCCCAGGCAATTGTGGGTGTTGAGTTAGGAAGAACTGGGTGTGGTCGTGTTCTGATGGGACAAGAAGGCAAAAAGTTGTTTTAGTGAGAGAAAGTGGTCCAGCACAGAGATGGGTCGAATGAAATTTATTCCTTTAATTTAAGTAGTATTTTCTTCTCATTCTCTGATATTCAGTTTATTTTATATAGTTTACTCATTTTCTGAGATTGAGAAAAGATTAAGTATAAGATAGCATTTGAGACAGACATGCATGGGAAAAGTAGGAAGTGACAAACTTGTTCAGCACTGGAGGAATACTTTGTAAGGTCCAATATATGCTAGATACAGACAATATTGAATGTTGGATAATGGACCACAATTTGGGTCAGGTTGAAGTCTGGTATTTTGGCTTACAAAACTAGGAAGGTGACTGGTTACACTAGGAGGTCAAACAGGCATTGCTGGAGTGAGGTTAACCAGATTGTTTAAATACTGTGTGAAGTGATACACAACAGATTTTGAAATCTGTACTCTAGGAAATGAAGATAGATTTTATTTCTTTTTGATAAAACATTTAGACTTCTGGGAAGGATAGAACTAGCTTATTGTCTTAATAGCTATTTGCATTTTAGAACTGATAGATCATCAAGGCATTGTTAGTATTTATTCTTTCTGTTTTTGAGTGTAATGTAGTTGAATCATAGACAAAGACCAAGAATGGGGAAGACTGACACACACAGTTTTACTGCTTAACGTTTTTAAGTGATCACACTATATGTAAATGAAATTGGCACTGTTGAATAATTATACAGCAAAGCGCTTTTGATATCTTCAATTTAAAAATAAGAGCTACTGTAGTGATCTGAATATATTTGTTGATAGGAACTGTCCTAAAAAACAAACAGAGAAAAGATCAACAGTGCTTGTTGGTATTTGTAAAGAAAATATATTAGGTTGAGGCATATCACCTGAGGTGAATTGACTAGTGTTGATAATCACCAGAATCCTCCAGATGCGTTGATTATGTTACGTAATTGACTCAACAGGGACTTCAGGGAAAGAGATGAGACTGTGACCATGTTTATGATTTGTCTGTGCTTCATGAAATTTAAAGAGCTTCAGATATAGCCTTTACATTCGTGCCACGTACACTAAATTTTCAGAGCACGTATGTGGAATATGTTTGTGATATAGCTTGAACTATGACATAGGAACTGTGACAGTACAGTACACTTATTTGACATGGACAACATTAGACTTAATTAGGATGTTTACTTATGATTTTAGATATCTGTGGGGCACTTAGCCAAATGTTTTTATTAATTTTACTTCATCCGTATATCTTGAGGATTCACACACTATGAAATCATCAGTAATAATTTTACACAAGACCTCATACTTTTCCTGTCCTTTTGGCATACGAATACCTTTTTGCTCATTAAAATTAATGAAGGCTTGCATGGCACTTCTCAGCCCCTAGTAGTACCTCTTGTGAATGTGCTCAGCAACCTATAAGGGGACATGAATGGCAGCCATGATTCAAGACACTATTGCCCAGATATTTCCCCCTCTTTCTTTCTCCCCCTCTTCATCCATTACTCATTCTCACTTTTATCTGTGCATTCCTTCCATCCTTTTCCAGTGTAGCTCTCTCAGATCTTGTCTGTTTACCTTTCTCTGCCCATTTTTGAAAATTCCTTAGGTACTTGTCACACTTAAAACCCCAAGCCATAGAAATTCTGCCTTTGATAGAAAAGAAAAGAAATAGACTATTTGATTCCCACAAGATCCCCCTTTGCTTATCGATGTCTTTTGATTACCTCTGTTAAGATGTTGACATCCCTTTAATGTTTTGAGATTTACCTTGAATTTGCTTTTTTATGTTCTCTTTTGTGTGTGTAACATGAATCTTTGAATGATTTGATCTTGCGTGTAGAAAGAATCCAGACTGTTCCTGCACTGCCTGGAGACCAGCAATTGTCAAATGTTTTTCCCTGTACTGATGTTGTAATAGGCTGAGTTACTTCCTTTTAGAAATTTTATTTTTCAAGTAAATTCTTTTTCAGTGGTGGTTTGTTGTAACATTAAATTCATAAAAATCAGTTGATGTTTTTATGTTCTCTACTTCTATTTTTTCGTGTTTTTCCTCTTTCTTTACCAAAGGGCAAAGATGATCTCACATGTTCCTACTTATTTCAGAATTGTCCGACTTCAAATTGAGGAAACTGAAGCCTATTTTCATGTGCCTTTGAATTTTACATTTTCCATATCTTTCTGTGATGACCTCATATTTTTTTATTTTTTTATTATTCGTAATTATTATTATTTTACCATAACCTTAGTACATGTTGATTTCATTCTGCTGGATGAGATGGCTGTAGGCTTTAGTGGGTGGGGAGACATGTCTGATGGGGTATATGGTCTATTGTAGCACGGTGGAGAGACTGTCCGCCACATGCCAGCCGAGAACCTCAACCAGGCCTATTACGTCCACGGCTTGACCAACCACCACCATCCCTCCAACCACCCATCTCACAACCACCCCCTTCTCATGACACCACACAGTAAAGCCTACCAGGCCCAAGCGCACGCCCAGGTACGGACGACCGCATCACGTGATAACTCCACACTGGCTGCTCATAGTGTTAGTACCTCGTCCAAATGAATGAACATTGTTATTTGATTGCTCTGTAAGTGATAAGGAAAAGAACTCTATCACAGCCACAGTCAATGGCTGTATGTGACCACTGCTCAGGCCAGGATAAAGAGTAGGGCTGTCTGTCAGGCTGAAGCTTGTGTGGTTTTGTTTTAACCATTGTGTGTAATGTAGAAAGGGAAAAGGGGAAAGCATGAGAAATTGCATGCAGAAGTTTATTTGTTAAATTGAAAGGGTAAATGAATTGATGACCTAAAGTAAGAGTAATGTATAATGACAAAAATGAATGATAAGGTTCAATCGGGACAGCTCCTACCCATGAGGGTTGTGCAATTATTCTTGGCCTGGCTTGTAGCCTTTGCCTTTGTGTGGCTGCCACATTGTCATGGATGGTTTTATTATGGTGTACAGAGTTCACTATAGGGACCTGCTTTTTGTGTGAGATGTTTTACTGTCAGAGCTTTATTTTTCCCAAAATTTCTTTGTTCTTTATGGTTGTTGTTTCAATTCAGTGTCAAGAAGTTGCTCCATACTATATTTATTTCATCTGATCTTAGACTGTTTTGTTTCAATTTTCAATGAAAGAAACCTGATAACTTCATCAAAATTAAATATCAATATGCTTTTTATTTCTATACTGAAGAGGGATTCACTCAATTCTAGCTTGCTATATGAACTTTTCCTACTTAACCTACCCAGAAAGACATGAAACTGAAGTCTTAAAAAAGAATTGAATGAAGCCAGATATTTCTATGCTCATACCTCATTATTGTAATTTCAGAAGGTTGGTGGATGGAATACTCTGTCTGGTTTGGTCAAAACGGAGAGGATAGATGCAATGGAGGATCGACGTCTTTTGGAGCAACAGCAGCAGCAACAACAGCAACAGCAACAGCAGCAGCAACAACAACAGCAGCGTCAGGAAGAAGCTATACGCCGTGTACATGAGCCAGAGAAGATGGTGCAGGAAAGCATATACAAAGCTTTTCGTGATACAGATAGGAATCGGGATTCCTTAGCAAAGATTAGGTATCCTCCACCAGCACACTCCAGTAAACCTTCAGAGAAGCCTGCGGTTCCCTCTGGGTTGCCCAAACTTGCTGATCCAAGCTTCAACTTGGCCACCTATCCACCAAATTATCTACCCAAAGAGGCCAAACCTCCCCACACAGAGAGGGTCCCCTACCTGCACTACGCTGACCCACGGGACAAGACATCAGTCATTATCCAGCCAGAGATCAAGTATGAAAAAGCCCCTCCACATTCTATAAGTCCCAAGCAGCGGCCCCCAGAAAGGTCTAGTCCATACCCACCTGGTTCAGCGTACAAACCACATGAACCATCTCCCTCCTTACACAGAAGTAGCACCTCGCATCTTCAGACTACTTTGCCCCACAGTGTAGAGTTGACCAAAGCTAGACAACCACAGTCTTCTCCGCACTCCACACCTTCACCAGCACATCCTGACCGATACTATCCCCCAGGGGTGAAACCCCCTCCCACCACTTACCCTCCTAATTTTATAACCGCTGGGCTGGTTCCCAATCCATTACATGTATCGTCAGTTTCTGCTAAGTCGAAGGTGAGCTCTCCGCCACCACAAATCTACGGCAAGCCTGGCATAACATCAGGTACTCCAGTGTGCCGTCCTGACTCCAGACCTCCACAACCTCTGCCCCTGACCAGCAAAGCCAGTGGTGTGGGAGGACCACCTCCAGCTCATTCGGGTAGAGGGGTACTTCCTGAATCAAGGCCTCCAATGCCACCACATGAACAGCGGCCACCCATGGAAAGAAGCCCATATGATGCTCGCATCTATCCGCCCACAGTACCGTCACCACACCATAAACATGTGGTAGCTCCAGGTCCACCACCTCCAGCAAGGATAACTCCAGTTTCTTCCCCCCATGTGGCAACACCTCACATTCCCCCACTCCCGTCCCCACAACCAACACAGACACAGCCTCTGGATCTGGGCACCCGTGAGGATGCTGCATCTCCCAGCAAGAGACGAACTCAGACTCCAACACCTCAAGATCCAAAGAAACCCAGATTTGAAAGTACAGCTAACCAGCCGCTGTTGTCTCGTGTATCAGAACCAAGCCCTCTGTATCCAACTGCTGCTACTACAATTACCACTGTAGAGAACACAGTAGCTCTTGCAGCCAACCTGTCTCGTGTTGCAAGTCCAGCTTCACGCCCGCCGAGCCAACCTCCAGCTGCTACTACCCCAACTCTTCAGCGTACTGAAAACAGCTCCTCGCCAGGGGCAAACAAGATGACAGAACCGGAGAAATCTAATAGTCCAGGTCCTGCCGGGGGTTATGTGCACAAGCTTAAGAAAGCATGGCTTCAGCGACATGAGAGTGGTGTTGAAATCATCCCACCAACGACCACCAACAGTTCAGGCTCACTCTCGGTTCGAGTAGCTACACCACCTCCTCCTCCGGCCAGCAGTACCCCTACTTCCTCAAAGCCTACATCAACAATTACTACAGCTGTCAAGTCTGAGCCAAAAGTAGTTGTGCGTAAGCCAAAAGTTGTGAATAGTATACCGAACAGTATACCTAATGGGCATAGCCAAGATATCAAAGATGGGGACTCAAGCTCAACAGACTCTGAAGGGAGTACTACTCAAAAGCCAAAGCGAGGCAAAGGCAAAAGAAAATTGAAAAGAATGAAAAAAAGTAGTGATAGTAATAGTGAGAGTGAGAAAGACAGTGATGCGAGTGAAGAGACAAACATCAAGAAATCGGGGAGAATACCTTCCAAACCTGACTCTGAACCCAAGAAAAGAGGGAGAAAACCCAAATCGAAGCCAGACAAAGACAAGGAAGAAGGCCCAAAGCCAAAAAAGTCCAAAGAGGAACCCCCACAAAATGACCCTCTGCAGAAACCCCCAGTATCTCAGCTCAAGAAAACAGGAGAGAGCTTCTTGCAAGATGGGTCATGTTATGAGGTGGCTCCAAAACTACCTAAGTGTCGTGAGTGCCGTTGGACAGCCCACCAGAGGAACAAGAAGATGCCCAACATCTTTTGCCGTTTCTACGCCTTCCGACGACTCCGTTACACCAAGAATGGGCAACTGGCAGTAGCTGGGTTTTCAGACCCCATAAAAGACGTGTCAGTGGATGACCTGAAACTGTGGGTGCCAGACAGTGATAATCCTCCAGAGGACTTAGATGAAGAAACAAGTCTGTTTTTATTGACCCATGTAGGGGATCAGTTCTGTGACCTGGTGGAGCAGGAGAAAGAAGCAATGGCACTCCATATGGGTGATGGTAAGTGTTAATTTCATTGATATTTTTATAGTAGAAATAGCTTTCAGTTTTTTACATACGTCATGCTTACATTTGAAATAAAATTTATTGATAAATTATATGTTGCTCATATTTTTAAACTTTTGATCCTGGGTTTCAGAGACTGTAGTGGCTTGGAAGCGAGTGGTGCAAGGAGTTCGGGAGATGTGTGATGTGTGTGAAACTACTTTGTTCAACATCCATTGGGCATGTAGCAAGTGTGGTTTTGTGGTCTGTATAGATTGCTACAAAGGACGCAAGAATGGAACAGTGAAGGTGTGGGATGAGGGCGGTAAAGACCGTGATGAATACTCGTGGTTACTGTGTGCATCTAGACTCCCGCACGAGCAGGACAAACTCATGCTTACTCAGATAATCTCGGGGAATGCGCTCCTTGAGCTGGGGGGGAAAGTGCACGAAGTGAGACACAAATGGAACATCCCTCAGTACTGTGAATGCCCTGAGGCTAAAAAGTACAAAGAACAAGCATCCCAAGACGATAAGAAGAAGCTCAATGGAGTGAATAAAGATCTGCTCAAAAACATAAAGAAAGACCCTAGTAAAAGTGAAATGGTGAATGGGACAGTGAAGCAGGAGAAAACGGAGAAAATGAATGGCAAAGATGAAGAGATGTCCAACTCTCCACTGAACTTCTTTGCTGATGTTGCACTCTCCAGTGACAAGAGAGACAGTGAGGTAAGTGCAAGAGGAGGTAATGTCATTCTCCCTTCCTCTTTTAGCATTTTATAATGTCACTACTGACAAAGACCAGTAGATAGTCAAGCAGCCAAAATTATTAAAGAAGAGAGTATTAAATCAACTTCAAATAGAGATTTCTCACTCTCGTCACACTTTTCATATTCAGTGATACACCTTGTTCATGCAAGAATCATTATGTAAAGCCAATGCTAAAAATTTTGAATGTGAAATACAGAATTTGGTTGGTTTATAGGTCAATAGGGTATTGATTTTGTTGGGAAACACTTGGTTCACTCCTATAATATAAATGTTTGATGAACTTTATTGCAACAAAACAACTATATATTTTTCTGTTAAGCATATATTTGAGTAGGGATATAGCTGTTAATGGTTGGAAAATATATGCAAATTGTAATTAGAAATGAAACATTATCAATTATTCATTTTAGAGGACGGCAAGGGGAACTTATTTTGTTTTATTTAGGTTATGTTAGTGGAAATAGGACCTCGTAATGATCAGGTGTATCTGTTGGTTTTATTGCCTCTTTTGTTTGGACTTGTAAGAAGTTTCTTTCCACAGTATGGAATTTTATAGTTTAAGTGTAATTTGGTAAAGGTCAGGACAATTGGGTATAAATGTCAGAACTTAAAATGCTATTATTTACCATGGCAGTTGGTCCTTTTTTTTACATGATAGAATTCATACTTTGATTTTACTCAGTATTTTACATTATAGTACTAACACTTTAATTTTACTGCAATATATATATTCTTGTATTATTTATGTCTCGGCTGTGAGTATGATGTCTTTTCTCACATCCCAAGTTTCTCAAATGGTTTGCTTGTTTCTCTCAGAGTTCTGACTCAGATTCAGACTCAGACTCAGATGACAAGGAGGGCAATTTCTCAACCCTGCGAGAGTTGCTGATCAGGCCCAATGCACGGCCCAATGGAGGCACGAAGGATGAAAACACACCTCCTACAAAGTCCAGCAAAGAGACCAGTAAGAAGAAGCCCAAGCTTGACACCGTGGATGAAGTCATCTCCTGTGTAATTGACAACACGTCGGACAAGGAGGACACGAAGGATAATGACCAGATGGTGCTCAAACATTTTGTCCGAAAGTAAGTCATTGCTTTCCCTGTATGATTTGGTTGTTAATTGGGAATTGGATGGTTAATGTTACAATATTCTAATAGCTTTCTCTTCAACCATAATCTGGGTAATTAGTTTGATAACTTTGTACAAGTTTACTGCTGTAATATTAATTGTAATTCTTCTCTTCAGGTACAACTACACTCCTCGAGGGCGCGAGCCACTTCCAATCAGGATAATGACCAAGACTGAGAGCAGCACCTTGTATCCTGGCGTGGCGCACTCCTGGCTCTGTGATGGCAAGCTGCTGCGGTTACAAGATCCCCTTGCACCCACCAACACACTCATCTTCCAGGATCAGTGGAAGCGGGGACAGCCTGTCATCATATCTGGTGTTGGGCAGAAACTCTCCTCTGAGCTGTGGAAACCAGCAGCTTTCTCAAAGGACTTTGGAGACATCAAGAATGATCTAATCAACTGTCTCACTGGTAACATTGTTCCCAACCAACCCATGAAGAAATTCTGGGAAGGTTTTGAGAACTATGGGAAGAGACTGAAGGATGAGAAGGGCCAACCCATGGTGCTGAAGCTGAAGGATTGGCCCCCAGGGGATGACTTTGCAGAAATGCTGCCCTCAAGATTTGAAGATCTGATGACTGTTTTACCCATGGGAGAGTACACGAGAAGAAATGGCCGTTTAAATCTTGCTGGCCGTCTCCCAGAGTGCTTCGTCCGGCCTGACCTGGGTCCAAAAATGTATATTGCTTATGGTTCGGCCATACACCCAAGCAGAGCTTCCACAAATCTTCATTTGGATATCTCTGATGCTGTTAATGTCATGTGTTATGTTGGTGTTCCTAAAGATGCTGATTATGAAGATCATATAAAAGGTAAGTTCATTGCACTTCTTTATGCAGGGTTGAATTCAACAGTATAGATAATCTGCAAGGCTTTCATAATCATGAAAAATAGGAATATTTCTTGAACTATGGTTCACTCTGAAAGTGCTGATTTTAAATATGTATATTTTAAAAACTTGCAGCAGCTCTAAAGGCCATCGATGAGGCTGGCTGTGATGTCCTTACCCGCCGAAGAGTGCGGGAGAAGGAGGAAGTACCAGGAGCGTTGTGGCACATCTACCATGCCAGGGACGCTGACAAGATTCGGGACTTGCTCAATAAAGTGGCCATAGAACGTGGGGATAAGCTGGAGCCTCACCACGACCCCATTCATGACCAGTCTTGGTACCTGGACGGTCCTCTGCGAGAGAGACTGTACAAGGAATATGGCGTGGAGGGTTACGCCATCATCCAGTGTCTGGGAGATGCTGTCTTCATCCCAGCAGGGGCTCCTCATCAGGTAATTAGTTAGATTGCTTCTATTAACATCATTAGTAAACTTTGTGGCTATGGAGAGGTCTTAATCAGTAATCAAGTGAATTGCTATACGTAATACATGACTTTTTACCAGACCATTCAAAAATACACCATAGATTTTAATAAATTTTGATTAGGAGAAAGGCTCTAGTTCAGTGGATCTAGATGACCTAGGTGGTCAGCAGAATGTTTAATGTATTTAGTGATGAACTGGAATATGATACATATATTTTTCATTTGTAAATGTTATTTCAAGCATATAATGAGCTGTGTACTATTGTATATTAGATATCAAAATCCTATGTACAAGAAATATATTTCAAAATAAGGTATTGTGTATATGCTCTTTTTTATCATTAGCCAAAGAGAACAAAGTCAACAAGATTTTAAAGTGGATTGTTAGTCCAATCTTTAAATAAGTTAAAACTACTGCTCTAGTTTGAATATTTCTGGTTTCAGTGCTCAAGAGGGATCCATAGATAGTTGTTGCTGTCACAGTTATAAAGCAGGGAATTAATGCCTTCTCCTTTTCTTTTCAGGTTCGTAATCTGCACAATTGTGTAAAGGTTGCTGAGGATTTCGTCTCTCCGGAAAACATCTCATACTGCTTCCACTTAACACAAGAATTCCGGCACCTGAGCGACACTCACACCAACCATGAGGACAAACTCCAGATTAAAAATATTATCTACCACGACATGAAAGACTCCATAGCCTGCCTGCTATCGGCAAGCAAGAAATTAGAGGCTACAAATTCTGAAGTGAAGGAAGACCCAGAGAAAAAAATAAAGAAGGAAAGCGATTCATGAAATTAGCTCAAGTGACTAGTAGTTCATATCAGTGAAAACCATGATGCTGTGTGTTGAAAGTGTTATTCTTTGCAACTCTTGGAAATATTATGTTGGAGCAAAGTGTGCATGAAAAAGCAGAGGTAAAGACATTAGTGTGTGAACAGACACGTGAAATGACTAAAGAACCATTGTAGCGAACTGACATTCAATGGTGTCAAAAACATTTTTTATACAAAATGGTTTTCCTATAATGAGTGCAAATAATCAATTCCACTTTCGATTTATAGCAAAGCTGTATTATTGATCTGTGTGGAACACAAAGTCCAGTTCATTTTGATGTTTATTAACAAAGACAGTAATATAAGTAGAAATGGTGTAATTATTTATTAATCCAATATGATGTACTAATCACCATGGACCTTACTATTAAGGACCCACATAATCTCTATGTATCCACGGTGTACTTAAACCAGTGATGCCACATAGAGTGCACAGTATTTTGTGCACAGTGTGAGTTGAAGACTCCGACCGGAGCATCCCCACAGCTTAGGGTATGCACTTCGATTACTGGTGTTAGGTGTTGACAAGCCCAGCTGGGACTGCCAAGTGCAACAAGTGGTTTAGTTGAGATACCCTCAAGTACCAAAAGGACGGGGAACCCCAGTTGTGGCCAAGCAACTACTCCCCTCCCTGCCCCTTCCACCTTCCCTCTCCACTCCCTACTCTCATCTTTTGATCTCTGACTCGGAGTGTATCCTGGTAGCAATCTCTTTGATCTGTTTGTTGCACACGTGTACACATGGACACCGATGAAAACTGTTTAAAATAAAAGAAAGCAGGGGCTCTTCTTCCCCCACGCTGGCTGGGGGCCTTGATTATTATATATTCTGCCCAGCTGAAGGTTGGTAGTGCGGCGGTGGAGCAGGGGGAGGCGGGACAGACACGAGCGGGAGGGGAGACTTGGCCATGCCCTTCAGAGAGTGACAGTGATCAGCCTCTACAACGATCCTCCAACCAAGCTGCTGCTGCTGCCACTACCGCCACCTTTCCTCCCTCCCTCCTATTACCCTCCCCTCCCCTCCCCCCTCTTTCCCTGCCCACTCTCCACCACCGTCATTTTGTACATTGATCTCATTGTTGGTGTAAATGTGAGTAGTGTTGAGGGATGGATGTTTCTTGTAGTGTGTTTCTCACATGTCATGTTGTTATATTTGTTTAATATTGAAGCCTGTGTTTTCTTTGAGAAATTTACAAAACACAAGTGATAGGCATGTTGTTGCCATTGATCTTTCTTTTTATTATAAAATTAACACTCAAAAGAGATGAGAAATAATTTATTTGCTTGTCAATCGTGGGCGGATGTAGAAATGTACATTGATGTAGGCGTGTAGTGAGCGAGGGGTTCAGCCAAGCCCTGACGACCCCTCTCCCAAGCCTCATCAGGAGGACGCAACTGTACTACTTTTTTGTACTGTCAATATGTAAACAGATCACAATTTGAATAGGAAAAATGATGCCATGAACAAGTGTTTTTTTGTTCCTAAATGAATCCGCATTTCGGGAAAAATTGTCCAAGTGCTATCAGGAGTATTGTACAATAAAAGTTTGTATAAGTACAAAGTATTTTAGGAAATCCATACTTTTTCCATTTTGGCACTACAGCTAATTTGCAGGGAAATTGTGAATTGAGCCTGCCAAGAAAAATGTCTTGCATATTATTTTGTTGAATTTTGTTTTAAGAGTGCTCATTTTCTTTTTTGGGAAGGGAAAGAAATTCAGAAATGTTGTTTATATGTATTGTGGCTGAATTGTATCATATTTCTCTTTTGTAAATAGAGGGAACCAATGCTGCTTTTTGTCCCTGTGTCAGCATAAAGAGAGATAATGCCTCTTATTTGAAGCATAATACAAGTCTCTCTCTCTCAAGATTTCAGTATGTCAAAAAACAATTTCTTTACTATTTTAAAATGTCAGACCGCTATATTACGTAAATAAAGTAAAACACCAAATCCACACGCAGAATATTCGACTTGCTATTGCCTTAAACCATTAAAGACAATTTGAAACCGAAGAAAAAAGTGTATTCTCCAAAACACACACGTACACGAGCACGCGCACGCTCTCAAAACTACACACAATCACAACCAGAAACAGCCACACACACACACAGCCACACATACACACAACCACAGCCACACATACACACAACCACAGCCACACATACACAACCACAGCCACACATACACAACCACAGCCACACATACANCTATATATATATGAGAGAGGAAGAGACGAAGAGAGAGAGAAGAGAGAGAGAAGAGAGAGAGAGAGAGAGACAGAGAGAGAGGGGGTATGAAAGAGAGAGAGAGAGAGAAAGAAAGAGAGAGAGAGAGAAGGCGCAGAGTTCATTGATTTCCTCCTAATCCGGGCCAAAGCCTAATCTATCCAATCCAAAACCAGGTTATCCAGCGCACATCAAAGCATAGAGGATAACAAACCTGATTTAATTGGATGTTTGTTGGATAAAGTTAAAAGGACGTTCTCATTGTAAAGGGAAAAAGTATATGAAGGGAGGGAGAAGGATAAAAGTAGATACGATAGGTAAAGGAAAGGAAGAAAAATATGAAAGAGGATTAAGATAGATAGAGATGGAAGGATAGAATG